CTTTCAATTTTCTACTAAGAGCAACTTTATAAATGTGAGAAACAGCAAAGCTTTGACTAATAACTCATCTCTTTTAAGATTTAAAGAATACGTGAAACAGACTCAGGCACAGGAACAACTAACACAAACCAAATACTCAGGGAAAAACAGGACTGGGATGGAGCCAAACCATTTTTTCTATCATTGCAGGGCACAAAAGCACTATGTTGAGATAAGGCTGGGGATGAGCTCCCAGCAGTAATCAGTCTTTTATTCCTGAAAACTCTTAAATCCCTATTGCAGAGGCTCTTAATTTCAAGACTGAATTAATCACTTATCTAATCTAATGATAGGAGTAATTTCATTTGAAAACTATGATGTCTTTACCCTTCTTCTCCTTGGGACTGTCCATCTAATAACTATTTCAGAGCTTGACTCCTGGGCAGTCCTCTGTTGAAATACCTGAAGCCTCATAGTAGATTTCAAGATTAATAAACTCAAGTATCACCAGGTAACTATTTTATAAACTTTCCAGATCCATACAAACAAGAAAAGGTAGTTCCTCCTCTGTGTTCCAGTTAGTGCTGCCATTTTAACTGAGGGGCCATCAGCCTTATAAAAACTTGTGCAATTCAATAAAACCTTCATTTCCATGAGTACTGAAAGAAGCCATAAATTCCCTGTTCCCAGCAGACAGTCCATCTATGAACTTTCTTCCCCTACCCCCATCAAGGCAGTGTGGTTCTCTACTCCACATTTAGCCCAGGAGGATACGTACTACTTGCCAGTTTCTCTAACGTAATCACCTTAAATACTCACGTCCATTAAGTTTAAAGATCTTAGTACCACTAAATGGAACTCTTAGATACTAAGTCCATATGGAGTAAATCTCTTCGGCAGCTTCTCCACTGGAAAGCTGCCTTGGATTCAAGGCTGATCTCTATCAGGATAAGATACCGACGTGCTTTATGCACTCCTTGATAACAGCGCAAAGCACATGCAGTCCTCTCGGCACAACATGCAAAGCAACACAGCCATCAGTAAGCAGCTTCAGAAACAGTTCTGCAAACTATAAGGAGATCTCAGAGGGAAACTCAGCTTCAGAACAATTTTATCTTTTAACAGCTTCCTAATCCCCTCACCTCACTCCTGCAGCTTTACCTTTTAGAGAGTGTCACAGCCCCACCCACGCCAAATCATGCATCCAAATTTAACAACTACAAAAATAAAATAAAAACGTGATAAGACAACCTTCACAAAAGAAAATAAATCATTTTTTTTTAAAAAAACAGCATTTTGAGGATAAATCTAGACTGCCTGCACTAAGCCATAACCTCTTTACTGATGGTTTTTTCCTTCCCCTTAACAGATTCAGGGACTGTAATAACATTTAATCCTCAGAAGCTAATCTAAATGTAACACTCAAAAGAAGACAAAGGCAACGCAACAGAAAAAAAAAGTGGCCACTGCCTTTTGGGAGTGCTGCTTTATCCCCGGAGCGAGCACATTAATAGAGCTTGGAATGAAATGCCATTTTATTCTCTGTAGCGGGGAGGGGATTAGCAAGTTGTCTTCTCTAAACCCAGTCTGAGTCATGGCTCTATGAACACTGAGAAAAGGCTGTGGAACGAAGTGAAGGGCGGGGAGCACTGGCTTTTTATTTACACGCCGCTTCCTTTGTGGGTGGTTACTGATGTGCACAGTTTGCTAAACAGGGAAGGAAGGGGGAAAAAAGTTCTAGGTCCCCAGACTTTAATTTGGTTGGTTAACAAAAGGGAAAAAATAATAATGCACCAATTATAACAACATCACTGAGACAATATGTCTGTGGCAACTGTCCAACTCACCACAGCATGTAAGCAACAAGGGCAAGTTGCTTAAGGTGCTGAAAGCTGTGCTTAGTGGTTTCTTGTTGCTAGGATCTTCTTCCTGGGAGAAAGAAACAGCTTGGACAGCGCCCAGAACAGAGGAGACAACGTGGTAGGAGGAACACGGAGACAGGAGCAGGCGGGGTTCAGGTGAAGAAGTGAGGAACAAAGTCCACTGCACAACTCAGGCCATGGAAGCATCAAGCCGTGTCCTACCTTGAAGTAAAAACCAAGAGCTAATGACTATGTCGGTGACTTAATATGAAGCTCAGCACTAAGTGCTTCACTTCTGTGTCTATACAAAGGGAGATAGGAAGATTGCCTACCTCACAGGCATGCTGTGAAGAGTCACTAGCAGAAAGCTTGTACAATATTCCTAAATCCTGCAACGCTTGATAATCACTAAGGAGAGGAAATAGTCTGTGGAACACCTGACCACTTGTGCAGAGCTGAAGGTGTTGATAACAGAATTACAGAAGTCAATGAATGCCAAGAAAACACGGGGGCGGGGGGGGGGAGGGGGGGTGTCCAGATATTTCTTATCTTTCCTTCAACATGGACTCCAAAAAACAGGGTATTCACTGTGGAAACAGCCCCGGCTCTATTCCACACTTCTTTCATCGGCTATGCTGATACACAATGGCAGAAGACAACAAATACAGGGTAGATTGGTCTCACAAGGCACAAGTGCAAGGAGCAGGTCAAAGACTTCACAGTGAAGCAGGGATAATATAAGCTAGGGAAGAGACACTATGGGAAAGAGATGTACTCCCCTCCGCAGATGGAGAAAGTGCCACTCCTGATTTCCTTTCGTTACAGGAGCTGTCGTAGTCCAGCACTGGAAACAGGCAGACCTGTGCTTCATTCATACTTTGGCTATATTCCAGTTCATGCAATTTTGCTGGAGTGTCAGTTTATTCCTGCCAACCAAGCTACTAGAGCTGCATAAATCAGTCTTATCCATCTTAGCACTCACTGTGCTTCTATGTCTAATATGAAAGTGCAAAACAGGATGAGCAAACTATTCTTTCCACTGAAGTCAGAGGATCTTATTTATTACCATAACAGGCTGCAGAAAGACTTGAACGTACAACACCTAAACAAGAGGACCTCACAACATGCAAACTTCAAGTCCTACCAATTAAGCATGAACGCCAATGTACGAAGAAAGTTTTCCTGACCCTGTCCCAACCTCATGACCCACGAGGCATATGCACTCTTTAAGAGTCTTTTGCACGGCGTGTTGTACACCGAGGCAACGATCCCGAAAAGGATCACTGCGCACTGCTGTAAGAGGCGTACATTGCAGGCTGATGGGATAAAGCAATGATTCTTCCCGCATGTACAGTTATCAAAGGGTATTATCAATTCCAAATCATGCACTCCAACACGCAGCTCAGTGCAATCCTGGCTATTGCCGGCAATTTCTACTGTAAAGAAATGGAAAGTATGATGTTCACCTTCTCCCTCAGTTTCACTAGCGCCACACAGCTTGTCCCTCCTCAAGGCATCCCCCAGCCACGTTATCTTTTCATACAAAATTCACATTAGTGCAGGTTTCTCTTTTGGCTACAAGGAAGACAGCCTAAGGAATCTGTCCCTTTATGACAGCTCAAGTTCATATGGCCTTCAAATAGAAGGGCATGGTACAATAAGGCCAGAAGCCAGGGACTGGCAGATGATGAAGGCTCAAAGAAAAGGGGAGGGAACCCCTAAGAGACCATAAACACATTTTCTGACGAAGTAGTCATTAGCATTTGTGTTTGTCTCAGCCACTAACCTTTATGAGAAATGGTTGCATTCCCGAGTTTCCTTCATTACCAGTCTTCATCTCCAAAGGAAACATAAGAGACCAAATAAAACTGAAACCTCAGGAACCAAACTTAAAACTACTATAAAAAAATAGGTTAGTTACAGTCTGTAATAGCAAGTAGAGAACATAATCCAAGGTCCCAATCTCCTCCTTTACAAAGTCACACGGATAAATCATTGCTACATGTGTTTCCCAACAACTGATCACACATCTGCAGAAGCAAATCCAAGAAAAGACTGGACTGATCAAAGACTGTCAGAACTTTATGTCCTATGAATTTTTTAAATTTTATTTAAAAACAGAATTTAGAATTCTACTACAGAAAACTGCATGAAAATGCACGCAATGTGTTAGCTGCCTTGCTTTGGCTTCTTTAGCAACTTATTGCTTGACTGTCCAAACAAAAATGTGAAATTACAAGAGGTTATGTGATGCTTTGGCAGCCAAACATAATTTTAAATAAAGACAGCACAATATACTGCACACCCCACTAACATATTCATCACTACTATATTATCTGTTTATGCAATTAAGTATAATACAGTCTGGACTGGACCCAACTGGACTACATATGTTGCTACTCCAGTTTACTGCATGTTGGCCAACTGTTTACCCAACTGAGATCCGAGTGCTACTCTTAACAGTGTAATTGCTTTGGACTCATTAATATTAAAGAATTATAGAAAATATTTCTTCTTGGACAGCTGTTAGTGCATGTGGAACAATAAGCTATATAACGCTACTGGCAAATACAAATGGAATTTAGACACTAAATATGCTCATGGTAAAAAGACAACATTAAAGGTCCACTAGTTGTGCCAAAGCCAATAAAAAAGGGCAGAAAAATCATTGCATCCATTCTAAGAAAAGATTAATGATAACTACAACTCTATTTTGATTGGAATTTACATGACTAAGGTTTAGACGGTTTACCTTTTTCTTCCCTGGACGATGAAAACTTTAGAAATGGTGCTATTCCTCCTACTCCCACGCACCAGCCCAGTGCTGCAATGCGTAGGTTAAATACATCGGGTCAAAGTTTGAACAGGTTAAACATATTCCACTGCCATTTTGAAAACGCTAGTAAACATCCCTATTTAATGTGAATTTTCTAAGTCCGTCTCTCCTCCCTCCTTCTCCCTTGCAAGATTTAACAACTTTATACTAAATTCTGTCAAGCTTGGCACAGAAAGAGAGGATGCTAGCTTTCAACTCCTCAGCCCCTAAGTACCTGACAGGAGGTAACTACACACTCCGTTTATGGGAATATCCAGAGGCTACACACAGAGCGTTATGAAATGCAACTGGAAATGCTGAAAAGAACAAAAATGGCTCCTCACTTTATCCACTCCTCTGCCTTGGTGGCTGCCTCCTGGTACTGCTCGGACGTCAGCTTGTAGATCTCTGCGTTCTGAAACAAAGAATATAATGCTCAGCTCTAAAAGTTAAAGGCATCTCAGATCTTATCCAGTCACAAAGTTACCTTCTATAATTAATAACGATTTCCAACAACAAACAGCGTATTCAGTTCAAAGAACACAAAAAAATGCCTAAAAGTTGATTTTATTTCCAACAAAATGCATCAAGGCCACAACACATCCTCCATTCCATGCTTCACCTTTGTGAAGGCAAGGAGGGGGGAAAGGTCACTAACAACCAACCGTCAGCTTTGATTATCCCACGTAACTACAAAAACAAGGTGTTTCCAGCATTGAGTTATTTTGAATTCAGTTGTGTTTCGTTCTCTTTTTTCATTAATTGCTATGAAGGATCTTGTAAGTTACTGACACGCAAGTATCAAAATTGGCTGCTAGCACTGGAAAATCCATTTTACATTTCAGTGCTTCTACTTATGTTACTTATTCTTTAAAAGAAAATTATGCAGCCTGTTTCCCTTTTAACAACATAGGGAGGCATATCAGGGTATCAGTTAAGGCACTGCCAAACAGAGTCTGGAGTGTCTTGCTTCAGGGCTTAAGAACTTTGCATTAAATTCTCCTGAGCTTGCACAGAAAGAGTTTTAGTTCACAAGTGCTCAGCCGCTGAACATGGAGCATGAATTCCTCCTCTCGGCTGCACTTACAAGCCTCCCAAGCACAAAGAGCAGAAGGGAACGGCTGCACGCCCGCAGCGACTTCACTGCAAGGTCTTGTGTCACTGAACTGCTGATAAAGCTGCTTTAGGCAAAGCCTCTGGACTTTATACTGAAATAGCTGCGACTGCCTCACGCAAAGCTCATCTGCAAGGCCTTTAGTCTGAAAAGGCAGATGCGGAAAATATGCAATAATCAATCAAAAAAGTGACAAAATGGTATTGAAAGCGAGGACAGCTATTCATTTAGGGCCGGTTCTAGCTGCTATCTCATCTCTCCCCAAATTTGGTCATTTTATATAGAATACTATTCTTGCCCTTCTTCATTTATTCTCCCATAAATGCAGCTGTGGTCCTGCGCATGATGAGACGACACATATTGTTCAGTGGTTAGAAAAAGGAAAGGACAGATATAACTCAAGTTCTATTAGCGGTTCTGCCACTTGTGCAATCTTGGGCAAGTCACCATTTTCCATCTGCAAGCGAGGGATAACAGCTGCTTGTATCACTGAAGTTGTGTGAAGCTCAGCTAATTGGAAGGTTTATACAGGTTTTCAGAGCCTAAGCTTCAAGGTGCTATATTTAAGCATTTTATCTCTGGTGCCTGAATTTATGTCACATACCAAAAAAAACCACAAGAACAGACTTTGCTTTTCCAAACTTTGACCTAGGAGACAGACTTAAACTGAGAAATCACAGAGGAGTAACAACTTCAAAATGCATTTTGCCAGCAAATTGTCATTAATGTTTTCATCCACTTACTTGTCACATAATGGTCAAACTTCTATGCTACTAAACCCATTTTCTTCCTTCCTATAATGAAAAGTTCAGCTTTTAATGGAGCCTTTTTCTGTCCTGTAAACAGATCTCACGACTTTCAGCTCCCTGCTGTTACTTATTCACACATGAAACCACAAGACCTGTGCTTCATTAATTAAATTTGCCATTAAAAATTAAATAACATGAATAAGTAGATGTGTTATCTCCATGGGCTTCGTAAGTCTCACCGTTTCTCCAATTACTACCCAAGCAATTTTCATATTGCATACTATCTGATTTCTCAAAGGGACGGGATTTGAGAGATCAAAATGAGAGAAACTGGGAAAAAGAGAAAGCAAGGTAGTAAAATTAAACATTTTTCAGGCAATAGGAAGTAGCCCCGTCAGATACTATTAGCCTGCAGCACTCTGCAGTGAAACAGCAGCAGGAGAGGAAAACAGGAACAAATATCTCTCAGTACGTGAGACCCAGCAGGAGGCTGGCATTTAACCCACCTAAAGAAAGGAAAAATAGCCAACAAATTCATTTGCTGGTTGCACCATCGATTGAAGTGGCTGTGGTGCAACCTTGCCTAGTTTATTAGGCAGAGTTCAAGTGCCCAGTACTATGGTCAGCCTCATCTTCAACAACATGAACTACAACCACGAATAAAAATAGCTGGGAAAGAAACCAGTATGGAATAGCTCTGGATTCTAAAGCTGATGAAAAGCAGGCAAGTGAGAACCTGAACAGAGAGGCAACAGTTTGAGTGAAGGAAAGGAGGACAGACCCGGCCTCAAAGAAACCACAAGGTACATGGCACGATGCAAAGATCAAGGAGGGGCACAGAAGACCTTCAACCTGAAGATGAAAGCTGCTGAGTTTTAAAAACGAAAAGAAAATACCTTTGCATGTGATCCAACCAGGCCTCTTACTTTTCAATTAGACTTCTCTGCCACCTTCTTCCCCCCTCCCCTTCAAAAACCCTAAAAATCAATGAAGCAGTATTTCCAATGCTATGAATAAGTATCTTTAAATGCTTCCCCAAGTAAGAAAAACAGAGTTTTACCATTAAAACTTGAGTTCGTTCAGCAAGCAGACTTGTTATACAGGTTTTCCTTGGCCTTTAGGCTCTTTCCTACCTTGGGAAAGTTGCATTCACTTTTATCCTAAACAGCAAATGAATAAATGGGCTAAATGAGCAACAGACAGGCCTCTCAGCATGAGCGCAGTCACGGCAGGTTCTGTGATTTGGGGCTTCTACTTACAAAGAATAATTTTCCAAGTATCCTCATCTATACAGCTTCAGGTGCAAGATCTGCTTTATTTTCAGTATTTTATCTACCACACTATGGCAGGGAATAATGTTCCAACAGCCTACAAAAATCTAGGACTTTATTATAAGGTTGCAAACAAGGAACCAAGCCAGGAACCATCTATGCACTTCCCGCGACTTCAGCGGAGCCACCCACGCACAAGGGCAATTCAGTAGGATCAAGGTGCGGTATTTGCACTTGAAACAAAGTCTGAGCTGCCCGTAGTCTTAGTGAAGTCCTCTAGCTTCATAAAACGATATTCAGTTGCACAGTAAAAGACAGAACATTCAACGCAAAATTACAAGACATCAATGCCGCTTTTAATTTACTCTCACAATATTTGATGCTTGAGATAAAATGGCATCTCACAAAGAAAAAGTTGAACATGAGACCTCAACTATTATTAAATAAAGCTCCTGGCAGTCTTAGTTGCAGAAATGAGTTTAAAAACATGACCAAAGGACACCATAAGGGCTCAAATAACAAGAGACAAAGAAAGAATGAATGAACCACCTAAAATGCTTCACTTCTCTCAATAAAGCTGAGCCTTAGGGGAGCCAACTTCAGAACATCAGAGCTCTGTCATATGGGGAGAGAGCTCTCCAGAGAGGACAAACAAACTAAACAAAGAAATGTTAGTTTGAAACATTTTCCCCCACTACTAAATGATGGTTCGTAGCAAATAATAAAAACACAGAGAAGTTATAAAAATACATAACTAGAGCCTAAAGACCAACAGAACCACTTTCCTTTACCCTGCTGCTTTTCTACAACAGATTTGCTGCTATACCCTTGTTCCCTACTCTCCCTAAAACACTCTTGCACTAAAAATTCCCCTTCCAAAGGGAATCAATTTTAAAACTCAGAGCTAAATTTGGAGTAATTTTAATTCGGCATCCCTCCTGGGCTGCAAACATGCAGCGAAACTCCAACACTCACTACTACACCTCGCTACGCTGCCCAGGCCGTTTCCACAACATACAGCAAAGAAAGTAAGAAAACAATATCGCAGAAGACTGAGTTCTCAGGGTTATTTCAGGAGGGAAAGTAATTGAAGCATAAAGAGAAAACCCTGCCAGCCCATTCTCACATTGACATCAAACCACATTCCTTACAACTTCAGTGAAACACGCACTACTTGCGGTAACACGTAAAACAGCAAACCAAGCAACACGAGCATGAGGAACTAGAAATTAATCAGATTTTAGGTGAAATTCTTTGTGAACATCAAGCAGCAGCAAAAATCTGACACAAGAACGCAGATTTCGCCATCAGGTTCAGTCTGGGTCAATAGATCTAAAGGTGTTTGGATTTAAAAAAAAAAAACACAACCGCCATCACCACAGCTATCTTGAGATATATTGACACCTCGGAGTATAGAAGCTTGTCAGTGGTCACAGTGCTTAAAGATACAAAGAGGATTAACAGCTACTGAAATGCTGCCAGCCTAGATGAACGCTAGCGATACCTCTGATGAAATGGAGCAGGCCAGCGGACGCCCTGACAAATGCTGCGGACAACAGCCGGGGGATTAGATGGTACAATCTGCCTCGCACCTGACAGACGCGTTGCTTCGATCCCCTCTCCCGACGTCCGCGCTCGCCAGCTTCCAGCGCACGCCCCGCTGCAAGCCCCAGTCCAGCCGAAAGGAGCACGAGAGGTGGCACAGCGTGGCGGGGGAATACGCGGTGTGTCCCACGAGTAGGAAACGCCCCAAATTTGGGAGAGAAAGGGGAATGGAAAACAGAGGTTACTTCTTGTCTATCAAATGTCAACTGGGAGACATTCAAATTCCTGCTTCCAGCTGCTTCTGAAGCCAGAAATAGGACCTCACGCCATCCTGACTGTCGCCTGCCTGCACACATTTGGGGGTGGGGAACACGCACGTGCCTCGGACACAGCTGCTGCCCCGAGGAACGGCGGGAAGCCACAGAAAAACTGCGGTTAGTGCAGGCTTCGGGAACCGCCTTTGCTCACAGCACTGCCTAAGGGAAGCAAAGGTACGCTCTCGGGCACCACACACCTCACCGGGTCGCTGGTTCACACGCACTATAAATCAGGTTGTTCATTCTCATTGCTCAGAAGTCTTCATGCAAATGGCTTCTAACAGATTTGAAAAATTACCCCATCTACCTGCACCCCTCCCGCAGGTACAGAGTCAGATGAGCTGAACCGATCTGTTCACTGGACGACTGTTTGGATCTCTTAAAATCAACCTACACAATCAATCACTGCTATCAACTTT